TGCTCTCTTGGAGGTTAGTCTCAGATGAGCACAAGAAGATACAAAGAGTTGCTCTCTTGGAGGTTAGTCTCAGATGAGCCCAAGAAGATACAAAGAGTTGCTCTCTTGGATGGTTTGTCTCAGATGAGCCCAAGAAGATACAAAGAGTTGCTCTTTTGGAGGTTAGTCTCAGATGAGTCCAAGAAGATACAAAGAGTTGCTATCCTGGAGGTTAGTCTCAGATGAGCCCAAGGATGTACAAAGAGTTGCTCTCCTGGAGGTTAGTCTCAGATGAGCCCAAGAAGAAGATACAAAGGAGTTGCTCAGATGAGCCCAAGAAGATACAAAGAGTTGCCTGGAGGTTAGTCTCAGATGAGCCCAAGAAGATACAAAGAGTTGCTCTCCTGGAGGTTAGTCTCAGATGAGCCCAAGAAGATACAAAGAGTTGCTCTCTTGGATGGTTAGTCTCAGATGAGCCCAAGAAGATACAAAGAGTTGCTCTCCTGGAGGTTAGTCTCAGATGAGCCCAAGAAGGTACTCTCCTGGAAGTCTCAGATGAGCCCAAGAAGATACAAAGAGTTGCTCTCCTGGAGGTTAGTCTCAGATGAGCCCAAGAAGGTACAAAGAGTTGCTCTCTTGGAGGTTAGTCTCAGATGAGCCCAAGAAGATACAAAGAGTTGCTCTCTTGGAGGTTAGTCTCAGATGAGCCCAAGAAGATACAAAGAGTTGCTCTCTTGGAGGTTTGTCTCAGATGAGCCCAAGAAGAAAGATTGCAAAGGAGGTTGCTCTTTTACAAAGGAGGGTTAGTCTCAGATGAGCCCAGATAAAAGATACAAAGATGTTGCTCTTTTGGAGGTTAGTCTCAGATGAGTCCAAGAAGATACAAAGAGTTGCTCTCCTAGAGGTTAGTCTCAGATGAGCCCAAGAAGATACAAAAGATACAAAGTTGCTCTCTTGGAGGTTAGTCTCAGATGAGCCCAAGAAGATACAAAGAGTTGCTCTCTTGGAGGTTAGTCTCAGATGAGCCCAAGAAGATACAAAGAGTTGCTCTCTTGGAGGTTTGTCTCAGAAGAGCCCAAGAAGATACAAAGAGTTGCTCTTTTGGAGGTTAGTCTCAGATGAGTCCAAGAAGATACAAAGAGTTGCTATCCTGGAGGTTAGTCTCAGATGAGCCCAAGGATGTACAAAGAGTTGCTCTCCTGGAGGTTAGTCTCAGATGAGCCCAAGAAGATACAAAGAGTTGCTCTCCTGGAGGTTAGTCTCAGATGAGCCCAAGAAGATACAAAGAGTTGCTCTCCTGGAGGTTAGTCTCAGATGAGCCCAAGAAGAAGATACAAAGAGTTGCTCTCTTGGAGGTTTGTCTCAGATGAGCCCAAGAAGATACAAAGAGTTGCTCTTTTTGGAGGTTAGTCTCAGATGAGTCCAAGAAGATACAAAGAGTTGCTATCCTGGAGGTTAGTCTCAGATGAGCCCAAGGATGTACAAAGAGTTGCTCTCTTGGAGGTTGTCTCAGATGAGCCTGGAGGTTAGTCTCAGATGAGCCCCCAAGAAGAAGATACAAAGAGTTGCTCTCCTGGAGGTTAGTCTCAGATGAGCCCAAGAAGATACAAAGAGTTGCTCTCCTGGAGGTTAGTCTCAGATGAGCCCAAGAAGATACAAAGAGTTGCTCTCTTAGGAAGATTAGTCTCAGATGAGCCCAAAGAGAAGATACAAAGAGTTGCTCTCCTGGAGGTTAGTCTCAGATGAGCCCAAGGAAGGTACAAAGAGTTGCTCTCCTGGAGGTTAGTCTCAGATGAGCCCAAGAAGATACAAAGAGTTGCTCTCTTGGAGGTTAGTCTCAGATGAGCCCAAGAAGATACAAAGAGTTGCTTGGTTAGTCTCTGAGCCCAAGAAGGTTTGTCTCAGATGAGCCCAAGAAGATACAAAGAGTTGCTCTTTTGGAGGTTAGTCTCAGATGAGTCCAAGA